GTATGTCCATGATGTGATTTTTTTCACTCATAATTGTTACAAAAAATATATGGGGGGACCATCATGGCCCTTGTAGATCTGAAGCAGTTTTTAGGTAAACCTGTCACGGATACAGCATCTTAGTGACGGGGAAAAGTACTCTAGCAATTCACCTATATACACTTTTAAGATTTTTCGCATATATATATATATATACATATATATATATGTATGTATGTATGTATATACAACACTCCGCAATGCTAATAGGTGAAAATGAACATTGATTTTGCCTATCTCCATCATCATTTAAATTTTATCGTGTGGTCATAATTTTTTAGTGGTGTTTTATTTTTTATTTATTTTTCACCGAAATGATTTAAAATTTGGAACATGTATTCACAAAAAATAAAGGAATTTTTGTAAAATATAGAAAATATTTTTATATGAAAAAAATTGATTAAAATACCTTAGAAACGTTTTGGGGGTATTTTGATCAATTTTATTTTTGTAGATATTTTCTTTTATATTTTTATTAGATGCACATGAGTAAGATGTACATATCTTCCAAATTTCAGATGATTTCAATTTGTAGAAAAAAAAATGAAAAATAAAATATTATTGGATAATAGTGACCGTACGATGAAATTTGAACGGTGATTAAATTACAAGATATTATAAAAACTTTTCCCTATATATATATATATATATATATATATATATGCGCGTGGGTTCTGTCTCCCTCTCTTTCTCCGTCTCTCGCTGGAAGCAGAATATATGGTTCTGCTACTTTTACCCTCCCCTAAACAAGAATGCATTGCCAAATGCTAACAAAGTAGGCCGAGGGGAAAAATAGAAAAAAAGACAGTGTTTCACACTCGTTTCCAAGCGGTGTGGTATTTGCTGGAATTGTTGGGCTGTTCAAATGGGGCCTTTGGCATGTGTACCTACTTTTGGAATGTACGCAAGTTGCAAAACATCATGCCTCTTCAAAGTTGGAAGTAAATAATTCGTGTGGTGGGGCGGTAGTGTTGTTTTGGCAGCTATGTCAATGAGCCAGCGGGAGCATGCTTATTATCTGAAAGTCTCTTTATTCTCAGCTAATTTTAGAGGATTTATATACAGTAGTTAAAGTTCGTTGGCTCTTGTTCGAGATTAAACTGATCCGAGCCCTCATCCTTTTTTAAAAAGATAATCACTCCCCCGGGAACCAAATTTAACAAAAATAAAATCTCAAGTAAGACTGTTGCCCCGAGGGAATAAATGCATGGAATTGCTCCGGAGGGAGCATAGTATTTGCACTACCATTTTTATGAACGCATCCCACATGGAGCCAGTTCTAGCATACATACCAACAAGAGAGTTTTCTCTCGTGCCACCGAAATCCAATCTTACCTATCAAGCCCTGAATCTGCTCTCCATGTTTTAGGGGTTTGGAGCTTTCACTTGCTGTTAATACAGTAGCTATGTGGGCTCTGAGGAACGTTGCGTTTGGAAGCTCTAAAACCCTATGGGTTTTGATTATTTATAAATAAAGTATGATAAATAAAACATGACACATACCACAAGAACATAACAAAGATTTACGTGGTTCTCTTAAGAAAGGTTGTGTCCACGGCATAATAAGCATAAATCTACTATACCAATCAAAATTACATTAAAGATTTTGGAAAACAGTGTTACCTCTCTAAATCTCGACAAAAACAAAACTCGAGCAAATCCTTTTAAACCACTTTCTCTTCATTCTTTTTACTTCTGATAGCTATTATCGACAATACTAGATAGAGATGCGAGAGCAACGAAAAACTGATTTTCTCTCTAACTAAAAGAGAAACAACCCAAAATATCTATGGAAATTGTTTCTCTACAAGAAACCAAACCACTCTCCCTTCCTTTTCTTTACTTTGGCAATCATTACGGACACACTAGATAGAGACGCGAGAGCAATGAAAAACTGAATTTCTCTCTAACTAAAAGGAGAAACAACCCAAAATCTCTATAGGAACCGTTTTTCTAAAAAAAATCAACATCTCACTCTACATGGATCTTCCAGAGGCACCAACAATGTTTTCTTCATATGAAGCCCACTTCTCTAAGACGAAATTGCATTTTATGCAGAGGAGGCTTTGCCTGCCTTTCTCTTTAGAGGAAACACCATTCACATATAATTACCCAAATTGGGCACACAAATTATCGACACTTTCATCCCATATATATAAGATTAGGATTCTGTACTAAATAGAAAGTTATTCCATATTTATAAGATTAACATTTCATACTAAATAGGAAACTTCTTATTGATGTTACATATCTCAAAACCTATAGATATATCCAAGAGTCATAATCTTTTTGGATTTCTATTTTTTTAAAAAAACTTATCAATATCAATCTCAATCCCACATAATATGGGATTTACTTATGTGGGTGATTTTGGATAGCACCAAATCCGATAAAGAAAGGGAGGTCATGATCTACCTGAAATTTTGAAATGCTCATGATTTATAATCTATTATCATTCTTAGCATGAAAGGCAATAACAATATTATTCACAGTATCATTCATTATGAGCACATTGAACAAATTACAGCATTATTCATTTTCCTAAAAAATAACAACATTTATTCATTCTGAGCATGAGCATTATGACCTACAAACTCCTCAAATGAATCCAAATTGCTTTACTATAGAAATCAATACGAGAAACTTCGCGCATGAATGTCAATATCCAACAGGTACAGGATTTGAAGATAGGAGGAAGGAGAGATCTCCCTTTAGGTCCCGTTTGGTTCCTTGAAAATGAGTGTCCTGAGGAGCTACCCTATTAGAGTAAGTGTCTCTTGGAATATAGCCGTCTACTATTTGGATAGCATACGATAAGAAACCTAAAAGATGTCTTTCCACTGTTTGAATTGTTTTAATATTATTGTATATAATATAATATTATAATATTATATTATATCTACTATAATATTATATATTATTATATAATATATCTTATAATATGGGGTGTGGTTTGAATAAGGTGGAGACCCTAAACAATCAAAGTAAGACACGCTTGTAGATCCAACATATCTATCGAGACTTGATAATCTTGAAAATTGATAGTCCAGGAAATTTATTACATGATGCATTATTTTCAAGACTTGAAATCTATTTTTCCTCATTTTCATACATCTGGAGGTCGTGATGATCGATTTGAGGCATTAAGGCATCGAAATGACCTTCTTAAGTGAATTTTTAAGGTGTGCTTTAATGTGATTGTTTAGGGCCTCACCCTTATATAAACCTTTTTTTTATAATGTACAACTAATTATAGGAAAATTTTTATATGCATGCTAAACCACATTTCTACAATATGCGGTCCCAAGATATAAAGCATCCATCTTAAAAATAGCTAGTCCATCTTAAAACAATTGAAACTAAAGATCCAAATGTTTTCTTAAAAGAATTATTATTATTAATTTTCAAAATTTATTTATTTATTTATATTCATAATCTCATGTTAGAGATTACATAGCTTTAAAAATTAAGTCCAATAATCTATCTAAAAAATAATTTTTTAATTGGTAACTCATTCAAAGAAACCATGTCCTTAATTTTAATTATTTTGGGGGATATAGATCTTCACATTTTGGCCTCAAAACATGGATACAACATTCCTAGAAAGACTAAAATCCCATCCCCAAACCACACCCACACTAGCCCAAAAATGGCAAGTGAGAGAATCAGGGGAGAAAGGGAGTCTGTGCTTCCATGGTTTTTCTCTGTGTACCTTCTTCATTCATGTTCTTGACCTTCAATGTGATTACTCTCAAAGTTGCCAAAAGATTTAATTGACAGTCAAAAAGACCATTTATCTTTTTTATATGGAGTTCACAATTATTCTCATTTATTAGATTCACTTATTAGATGGCTTGTGGTGAGTCACGATGTCTGAAAAAAAAAAAATTGGAACGTTATGTCTATTCTATGATACTCTTATAACTACCAGATAATGATTTCATGCAATGATTGTATAGTAGTATAATGCAACCATCTTTAATAACTATGTTAGAGATATTTGTTTGACACAGATTTTTAAATGTACAATCTTTTCATTATGAAGAACAATCACAAAATAAAAAATTTTGAAAAAATGCTCTAAAAAGTTTTCATTCTTGCCCAATTAATACAAGCCATCCATTTTATTGAGATGGTTAGATATAAGCCTCAAAAGGATTTTTTTATTCCCAAAATTTTTATATACCTTTATCATTATTAAATTAATAATGCTAGAATAGAAAAAAGTGATTTTGAATTTTCGAAAGCCTAGATCTTGAAATTCACCAAATAGATGATCGAGATTCATTGTTGGATGGGTACTAATTTTGACCACATCTAGGGTGTAAATTGATTTTTTTTTTTTAATTTATTTTTTCTATAGGGTTGATTATGAGGATTAAGATAATGTGTGTGCAAAATTTAGGATCATACAAATACCAAAAATATAATTTTCTAAAGGTGTGATTGCATTATACTACTATATAACCGTTGCATTAAATCATTTTCTATAACTACCCATTTTTAACTACCGAATTTGAAATTTAAGAGACATAAATGATTGTGACCTCATACACAAAAGATAAATACTCTCTTGGTAGACAATCCCAAGATTTAATGCTCCAGTCTAGTAAAGTACAATCTAAGAGTATTTTTAAGACCCCAAATTTTGGGGATGTAACTTTGGCAACCTAAAGGCTAACCTCAAAAAAAAATTGAAAAATTCATATCTCAATATCTATGAGCTCGAAAACAATAATATCCCAATATTGGAAAGTGAGATCTAACTGTTGAATCATCTAGTAATTCAAAAAATATCCTCTGGTGAGTATATAGCGACTACTGCACCATAAACCTTTGCAGTTTTTTCTTTTTATCTTGAGCATAATCTCTAGGTTGAAGAAGTTACATCCCCAAAATTTGGGCCTCAAAAATACCCTTAGATGGAGTATACAAAGTACAAGCTTTCCAAAAGCACATAAAAAAAAATGTACCCATCTCGCATAGAAAAGACAGAGAGAGAGAATACAAAAGTACAAGCTTTCATCAGACCCATGTTTGATCTTGGCAAGAGATTGATCCCATTGAATTGAATGAAACTACAATGGAAAAGTAAGAGCGAGAGACCATATAGAAAGAAAAAGTACCAGATTTCAAAACACACTCTTTGTTGGCAGACTTCTTTGATCGATCAGGCAAAGTACTTCACGAAGCTGGACCTTCGTTCAGGATCAAGTCTGGATTGCGGAAGGAGATGAATTCTTCACTATATTTAACTGTAGTAAGGGTGTTCACAAAAATAATGCCCCATGTACACAATGGGCAGTATGCATCTGAGGAAACAGAAAGTGCCAAGCTACAAAGTCATGTAGTAGAGGCGTCAACAAAAATGCTGCCCCCTGTACAAAATGGGCAGTACATACAAAAAACAAGAAGTGCCCCTTCACTCAAATGAGAATATAGACAAGGAGCTTTTCTATTATCAGACCCTCATGCTCTCATTTTTTTCTTTCTTTTTTGGAAATATTTACCCATTTATCCTTCAGGTCGATTGTCGTGCGAGCCGCATTAAACGCATCACGACCAAAAGCCAAAATCCGTTTCCATGGAATACACTTGTTATCTTCTGACATTAACTTTACTCCCTCCTGCACCAGCAAGAATTATAATCAAGGCTGATATTCCTCTTATTATCTCCAATGAACCACATATTACAAAACTATGAACCGTAGTCATATCTAACATTCTTCTTATCATCTCCAATGAACTATATATTACAAAACTATGAGAAACACAGTTCATGTAGCTTTAACACCCAAAACCAATTTACACAAACACAACCTGATATCTCTCTCTCTCTCTCTCTCACACACACAAACACAGCTAAAGATTCCAAAAATCCTTCAGCTATAAATTGTGGAAATAGGCCACCAACTTCTATTCCTTCAGTGATTGAATGCACTAAAACATTAATACTATCTAGAAAGAAACTCCTGGAGAAACCTTAGCAGTTCAAAGACCTATGGTTTTACATACCTTCAATACTTCTTCCTCCTTTGCAGTCCAAGGACCTATTTTACGCCTTTTAGAAGGTTCTGCGCTTTCTGTGCTGCAAATCAGCAAAAACAAAAAAACAATTCATTGTTACAATTAAGACAAGTAGAAACGAAAAATTGTATCTTGGATAGGAGAATTTCTCATGAGTTGATATCTTGAGAGATTTTCAAAGGCCTAGCAGCCTAGCTCATCTTACGAATCATCAGGGATGACCAATAACGGAAACACCAAGAAAAAAAGGAAGAGTCTAAATAACTTAAGCAAAATAAAGATAAACATATTTTAACTAACTTGGCTTTTCAGAGGGGCTGATATGGCACAAAAAATTACTAAGTTGTTTTGCTTCTTGAAATCCAATTTACACACCAAGAAGGCAATGTTCACAACTATTAAGAAGCCAAATATCTGATTATTGTTGCCAGCATGGTCAAAATTAAGATGCGCGTATTGCTCTTTAATAGTCCAGATTGTTATTTTGAGCAGATTTTGATGATAGAAGATCCAGTTGAACTGTCTATTCAAGATAATGTTTTAGGAAAGGATTAGCATTAACATCTGTCTGTGTACACCAGCATTAACTCGAGTCACACACTAGTTGCCCAAATAAGGAAATCACTATAAAATTCTAAAACGCAGCAAAGCATCCCCCGCACGTGCATGTGTGTGTGTGTGTGTGTGAGAGAGAGAGATTCAGAGATTCATTGGTAACTTACCAATGCTCAAAAGGGCGATGTCTCAAAGCATACTTCCTAGAACCAGCAGATTGCTGCCCTTGATCTTGGCTTTCCAAGTCATTTTTGGGTAACTTATCACATTTTCTTGTCTTGAATGGTACAGGTACCACAGAATCTGTATCGACATGATTGGATTCAATGTGTTCAAATTCAATGTGTTCATCGGACTTGGGAGTTTTGGGTTCAGAATTGGATCCATTGTGTTCAGTGGAGTTATCATAATAACTGGGTTCAAGTTGATCATTGGGCTTAAGGGTTGCAGATTCAAAACCTCCATTAACAATGGCGGGCTCCATGTGTTCATTGGGCTTGAGGATTTCCGGTTCAGAGTTATCATCAGAGCTGCTTGACATGACTATGCAAGTGTCACGTATGCCTTCCATCAAACATAGACCAGAGACCTGCTGCCTAAGATTTATAGGATCATCTTGATGATCTACTTGAGGCATTTCATCCAAACCCTCACAAGCTGATGCAACAAGAACATGTTTCAATGCCTCAACATCTTCAGGATCTACTTGAGGCATTTCATCCAAACCCTCACATGCTGATGCAACAAGAACATGTTTCAGTGCCTCAATATTTTTGCCAAATAACCAACTAAAGCTGTGCTATAATCGGAATGGATATGAGACTACATTGTGCTATACTGTTACTGTTCATTGCAGCGATGAACGGTGATGGTGAAAGCATAGGAATCAATAGAAAGAAACTTGACCACAATGCCAAGTCCGACACTGTCCATCATCACCCATCATTTCAATAGGTGGTCATGATGTAATGGACAATGAATATAACTTAGTCCATTTGGACAATGGTATATTTCCCCAAAAAAAAATTACCTTCTTGTAAATGACTCTCATCAACTAAACCAGTTCTTTTCCATGGGGATGAGCTAGATGGACAAGGGTCTTGAAGAACAGGATCCTTCTGCTAATACACAAAAACCAAAGCAGTATGATACATAAGTGACAATATCAGCCAATGTCTTCTAACCAGAATGTTGTTTCAATACCAAGGCTCAAAATGGAAACGACCAACACATACCTGCTCAAGACCAGATTTCGGTCTAGACTCAGCAGGTGTTGGCAGATCACTCCTGCCGAATCTGGAATAGGGTACATAATGCAACATGTTGAAAACATTGACAAGTCAAAGAGTGATCTGCCGAGTCTGGTATTGCCCATTGGCAGATCACTCTTTGATTTAGGGCCTTGGTATTGCCCATTGGCAGATCACTCTTTGATTTAGGGCCTTGGTATTGCCCATTTGAGCCAAACTTTCATGCTTAATTAGATTTTTAGCCAATGTTCCAAAATTCGGCAACCCAGCCGCCTAGGCAAACAGGACAAAAACATGCCTAACATGGGCCTAGGCGGGCACCCCCCCCCCCCCCCACGGGCTCTCTCTCTTGGCACCATGTGCTTCCTCTTTACATATAGGAAGAAGAAGAAGATGGCCTCCAAGTGCTCAATGTGAGGTCTCTCTCTCTCTCACACACAAACATTCACACATATACATACAAAGATACACATGGACCCATATGCTCTCTCTTTACATGTAAGAAGATCACACAAACATCCACACATATACATACAAAGATACACATGAACCCATATGCTCTCTCTTTACATGTAAGAAGAAGATGAACTCCAAGTGTTCGATGCAAGGTCCCCCCTCTCTTCTTTCTCTCTCAAAATGAACATTCTCCAAGTGTTCAATACGTCTCACAAACACGGATCCATAAGCTCTATCTCTGTTATTCTACATATAAGATGAGGAAAAAAGACTATGATATTTGAGTATTTCATGTGAGGCCTCACACACAAAAAACATAAAGCGCCCCCATCCCCCCCACACAAAAAGCAGCCATCTCTGTCTTTCTGAACATTGATTTTAGCATGATCTAACTTCTTGCTGTTAAAAACATTATATTTAAAATAAAAAAAAATTCACATCTTATCATGAATCCTGAACCTATGACATTTGGTCTTCCTAAGGGTATGGTCATTGATAGAGAAGAATAGAGGAACAATATTTATATGGCCGACCCCAAATAATTAGGATAAGACTTGGATGATGATGATGATTTAGAAAAAAAAATTTGGACTTGAGAACTTTTTAGATTAAAACATCGGCCATTTTTTTTACCGGTGTTTAAAAATTGTAATTTCTTTGCGTCGGTAGCTAATATTTGATGAAATGAAATCCCTAAGCCCATTTTTGTGTTCTTGATCCTACCATAGGCTTTTATTTAAGGGGGGGAAAAAAAAGTATCTTGAGATTTGAAATTCGGATATATACTATTCATTAGAATTTTCCAAAAGCATAAATATTCTAGATATGATCTCAAAACCCAAAACTGGTTTTGGGGTTTTGATTTGGGTTATAATGAAGCTTTGATGAGGATTTGAGGCAATGGGCCATTGATTCGCATTAAAATTTTGAGTATGTTTCCTTTTTCAATTTAAATCATAAAATAGATTTTTTTTTTACTAAATCAAATAGAACTCATTTATAGTTCATTTCTATGTACTCTCATTTTTTTATGATTTTTTTAGACTTTTCCATTTTATGAATTTCTCTTTTCTTTTCAGATTTTCTGATTTTTTGAAGCCAATAGCATTACTTAATTGTTAGTCCAGCCAATAACAATACTTAATTGTTAGTCCACTGGTATGCACTTTTCTTTGTTCATTATATGTTTTAACTTTATTTTTTGGAAATTTTCAATTTTGGTTTATTTTTCCATATTTTTTAGGTTTTTTTAATGTATCAACGGTGATATGGCGAATCAAAGTCGACTCACCCAAGTACCTCAGCTCACGGCGGATACTGAGTAAGTTGCCCAAGCAGTATTTTAGAACATTGATTTACCTAACATAAAGGTGACAGATAAGACAACATCATAAGTCAATTATTGTTGTAAGGATCATATGATTAACTGATTAAGTCGATAACTGTAAAGACAATGCCTTTATGGATTTCATTTGGCATAGACCGTAGTAGAAGTCTGATATACGTACTACAAAGAATAAAAAAAGCCCACAATTACTGGGTAACTAATGCGCCAAGATCCCCAAAATTCCCTGTATATGAATTCAGAGTTTCCTACACCCCTATGAATCTATAAACTAAACCTATAGCAAAGCTTCCTAATTCCTTTTCTCACATTAGTTTCCTAAAGAAACAACTATTGTGCTAAATCTTGCATAAAGCATTACTTATCATGAAAAGAAAGGCACAAAGCAATGGGTCCTTTATTAGAATGATGAGCACGCATCGAACTTGTCATTTATGATCATCATAAATAATTATGCATGTATCTATCAATCAGCTCACTCATAACTACTAAGGAACCCATTAAAATTTAAATCCCCCAACTAAATTTGAAGTAACCTAAGTAAGCACAGTTGTAGAACAATACAAGGCAAGCTTAACTTGATTATATATATATATATATATAAGGAATTTACCCCTTTGCATTTGCGAGTAACATCTTCCATCTCCTTCAAGAATAGCTTCTCTTTCTCTTTGAAGTCATCGCATGTGCTCTCAGAATAATAATGATGAGCCTTAAGAATCAAATCTTCAAAAAATAGACGAAACCAAAAAGTTTCAAAGAACTAAGAGAAATAATTTATGCCCATTGAATCAAACATGAAAAGAGCATATCTCATTAAAGAAAAAGGATGGAAAAGAAGAACGGTAAGAAAAAAATAATAGAGTAAAAAAAAATAAAAAAATCCAAGGGAAAGCAAAGTTAAATTGCGTTTCTACTCAATAATTTTCAGATTACCATAATAGCATGAATCGTTAGAAAACAAAGATAAAAAAGGGGAAAAGGTCCAAAAAGAAACCATAATAAAATGATAAAAAGTTAAATGATAGTCTGATAAATACCGTTAAGAGCTGGGTCTGGGATTTGGATTTCTCCATTGCGAGGAAAGCCTAGAAAAATCCAGAACCACGGCATAGAACAGTCGAGGTCCGTCATTTTCCCAGCAAGTGAAGATAGGGAGGGGGAGAACAGAGGATTTCAAACAAATAGTGGAGAGAGAATGGTGAGGAGAGAGAAAACAAGAGAAAGAGGTTTCGGAAAACGTGGAGTGCGCTAGACGGTAGGAGAGAGAGAAGAGGAATGGCGCCTGAAGAGGGACAGCTTTCAACAATATAGAAGTTATTTCGAGGCAAGAAGTGGGCCGAGAGGACTAAAAAGTATATTTAAAATATGATTAAATAAGTCACATCCAAATAAACTTGAATATTAGTAAAAAGAGTAGATTTTTAAAAAATCGATTTGTATTTTTTATTTTTTAGAAGAGATGGGATATTATAAAAATAAATCCCTTATTTTTAAGGATTTTATATAATTTTTTTTTAATTTTTTTATATTATTTGGCCGGATAACCAAAACCGACTAAAACAAAAATTGGCCAGTGCATGGATAGAATATTTATCTTTTATACAGGGAGGTCACAATCATTTTTGTTCTTTATATTTCAAAATGATCGTTTATAAAAGTTTAATTTGATTAGACACAGGTCCAAAAAATATTATCGAACTTTGATACTCATCTCAAGCCATTCGATTTGACATCTAATGAGTGAAAATAATTGTAATCTTCTTGTATAAAAGATAAATGGTATCTTTATAGACAATCCGTAACGAAGTAACACACCTCAAAAGTTCATGGAAAATATTATTTTTTTTGGTTTATGTATCCACTCAGTAATGGAAGTTTATACATAATATGTGATGTCCGCTTTGTATGATAAAAGTAATACACGCCTAAAAAACTCACGAAAAATTATTTTCTTACTAGTTTCAGTAAGTTATACACATGTTCAAACTTACATTACATTTGTAACCTTTATGTACAAAAGATAAATGATTGCTTTATAAACATAAATGTAAATCATACACATGTTCAAACGTACATTACATTTGTAACCTTTATGTACAAAAGATAAATGATCGCTTTATAAACATAAATGAAACAAATGGCACGCCCTTAGGGCCGTGCCCTAGTTTTGTATAGGGTAGGGTGTTATACTGAGATAACACGAGTTATCCACCATTGTGTAAGAAATTTAAGAGCGTTTCCAAGACATGGTCCCTCCCGTCCTTGTCCTTCCTCCAAAATTAAACATATATTGCAGTTAAGCCATACATGCGTGAGTATGGTGATCATTTACTCCTCCAAGTAAAACCCCATTGGGCCTTAAATTGAGGGGGTTTAACCCTTTCAATAAATAAATTTTTAATTGTACCTTTTATGCACTTAAATAGATAATAATTCAGGATTGAATTGAATCTGAGTGAAAACTAAACTTTGAGATATTTTATTTTGAGAATAATCAATAGTGAATCTTAAATAGTTCTCAATTATTTTTATAAATTTTTTTCCCAAATAGGTATTCCAAGGGAGTAGATGTACACTATGCTCCCACGAGGGAGCATACTTAAGTTGTTAAGTTTATTACAGGTATAGTACTTCGTATTTGTTATTTTTCATAAAAAATATCTAAATTTTGGGAAATTTGTGTATAACTCTTATTTTAATTTAAAAAATGTTTATATAAGGTTGTAACCCTAAAATGTGGCTAAGAAATCCATTGTAGAAGGTTATTTTGAAGTTGAAAAACCCTATAATTGATTATCTCGACATTGAAATATATAAAAAAAATTTATGAGTCTCAAATATTGTGTCCTTCAACATATTACCTGGACTGTCCATTTTCAAGATTTTATTTGTTTATATATCTACTTAATTTGAAACATTTTTGGGATCCAAAATTTTATAATTAAAGATGAAAATGGATTCTCAAGCCATCCTAAAAGCTTTCGACACCAAAATTATATCTTCTAATAAAATTTGATGGTGCACCTTACTTTGATCGTTTAACCTTACTTTGATCGTTTAAAATTACAACCTTATGTGAACCACACCCTTTTATTTTTGACATTTAAAATTTGTCCTATATATTTCATATACAATCAACTATCATCATTTGAGAATATAAATCTTATTTTAGTTTTATATATTTTTTATACATTAGAATAAGTTAAAATTTGACCTTTTTCACCATCATATAAATATTAAATTATTTTTAAAATAAATAAAATTATCAAACCACCCTCATACTGGTAGGGGTAATCAGACCAGTTTTTTTATTTTAAATACTTTTTATAGATGTACCAAGGTTTAAAGCATATGCAGGGTTTGATACTAATTTTGGGCTTAATCTAATGTATAAGAAAATAGATAAAATTAAAATTCATTTTTTCTTACCTGATTATATAAACTGGACTTATCTGCAAAGCAAAAGCTCCTTTTGTTGCCTCAAAAGCTCAAGTATGTTCCTTTTGGTGCCTCAACTTTGAGAGCTTTTAAAGTCACTCCCTTTACTTCTCTGGATAGAGAGGAAATCCAGTAATTTGAAAACATGGGGGGAAAATCAAAGGGGCTTCTCCTTCAAGTTGCAGGCGATTTTTCCTCCTCCAAACTATTTGATTTCGAAAATGGAGGGAGAAGGCTGGTTCCCTCCAAAACAAGTAGAGTGAGAAATCCTCGAAAATTGGTGCTCTCTCTCTCTACAAATGGCCATGACTCGCTCTCTCTCTCTAGAAATTCACATGAAGCCTGTAAGCTCTGCAATTGCAGGAGACGGGATTTTCTTGGTGCTCTTGGGTCTGGATTGCTGCTTAACTTTCCTGAGAATGCACAGTCATCATCGATCAGTTCCGAGTCGACTTCTAAGGTAGAGAAAGAGAGTGTCACATGGAATTTTGTAGAGAGGCCTTTGTATATTCATGTACATAAATGATTGATGGCTTATATTTTGGGTAGTTTGATGCTTGATACTTGAAAATTTGTTTGTGGGTATACAGATTTTCCTCTTGATTTTCACAATTTAGGTCATTTCTACTGGTCCCATCTTCTTGCTTCATGATATAAAGTATAGAATTGTTCTGTGGTGATCTATGAAAACTCGATTCCTGAAAACCAGAAGGCTTTAAGTGTAGGTCATATTAAACAAGATTCATCCTCCAAAGTCAGATTGGTATGAGGAGTTCTATGCGATCGCCATGGATCAAGTCCTGAAATCTTATGAGCCGAAGGTTTGTGGCCTCATAGCCAAATACCACTTCTACTTCTTTTAGGTTTTATCACTTTACACCTTTCATTAATTGATGAGATTTTTTTTTAATCTTACTTGTATCTTGCATTATATTATTGTGAATTTTTTTTTGTACCTTTTCAATTTATACCATTCATTTATTGTTGGTTGTATTTTTTCTCACTCTTGTACACATATTTCATTATATTATGGTTCAAAATTTTTATCAATCTATACCTTTCATTTGTTGGTTTATTTTTTTTCTAAACTTATTTGGGTGTATCTTTAATTATATTATTGTGCAATTATCTGGTGTTTATGTGTTCCTCATGATAATTGTCATTTTCCTTATGAAGCAACCTTTGATTTCAAATGAGGACTCTGATTTCTCATATGGGTCATAATCATCTAACTTTTATTGCCATATTATTGCACAATTAACCAGTTTGCTTATTCATTCCATAAAATAATCATTGTTTTTCCTTATGAAGCAACTGTTGATTTTAAATGCAGGTTTTATTCTCTCATAAGGGGTTTTAATCATCCAATCTTTATTGCCATATTATTTTGTGATTGACGGGTTTGCTTCTATATTTGTTAGAAATGTTGTTGTTCTTGCTTAATTTCCAATTTAGGCTCTGGTTTCTCGTTGGGGTCTTAATCTTCTATCCTTTAGGGCCACCTGTTCATTATTCTCACAAAAACTTCATACTTTTCATGTCCTAAACTATTGTCAATCTCTAAGCTTTCTGCTTCCCGTTGAGCTCTAATTCATCGTGCCTATAAGAATTATTGTCAATCTCGGAATTTTTCACTTCACATTGAGCTCTAGTTTGTGGTGCTTTTAAGAAAGGTTGCAGGCTATAAAGAACAGCTGTTCAGCTATTTGAAAGGTGACCATGGCACCCAAGTGTTGGAACTGGGGGTTGGAACTGGTCCAAACTTCAAATATTATGCTACTTCCTCCAATATACATGTTCTTGGGGTTGATCCAAACATGCACATGGAGAAATATGCACGAAATGCCGCTCTAAATGCTGGTTTACCATCAACAAATTTTGATTTCATGCAAGGGGTAAGTTTGATCTTTAGGTGCTATTCAGAGTTTGATATTACATTATAGTCACCATTCTAGCATAGGTTTCTGACTTCATGGATTTGAAGCTTATTACAATGTTGTGGCTCTTAGGCATATGATTTGCTCATGCTACCTCTGAATGCAAATTTCTATGAAAAGGATGTTGTCTTTTCCCATTTATTCTATCTCTCTCTTCGTTTTCTTTGGATACCAATTGTCTTGTTCTTATTCTTTTGTTTCATCTCTGCAAAATCAGTAAAAGAACATGGTTTTTTGTTTGGTCATGCCTTGCAATAACCCCTTTTCTGTTGATCGGTACATTGATCAATTGTGACACCATTGTGGCTTAACACATGGGCATAGTGTTTAGGGTGTAAGGGGCTGCATGACCATGATCCATGTTTTGAATCCCTACTTAACCATTTGGGGATAAAAAAGAAAAGCACAACACCTTGATACTGTTGCCATTCTTGTTCTAGTGGTTTGTCGTGCGATTTGTATTCGTTGGACTTCAAGATGCTAGACCATTATGCTTAATATTTTTGTATACATCTATACGGCAGTTCTTTTGATAAACAGATTTGATCCGTAATTGATTTGAAGGTAGGGGAGGCTTTGCCGGCACCAGATGCGAGCATGGATATAGTTGTTGGAACGCTTGTATTATGTTCTGTCAAGGATGTCGCAATGGCATTAAGAGGTATTAGATTCATATCTGGCTTTCTCTATTTTTGGAATATGTATAGGACTCATGTTGCCTCGAGGTTGAATTCTGAATTCTCTGGAATTTTGTCAAATGTATCTTTTGCTATTGGTATTCGCGTGGAGCCTACATCTAAGATATTTAATGTACTGAAGCATGGATTTTATTTCATCAGAGGATAGTAAAGAAAATCTACCTTATGAAAACAAGAAAGAGGTTTTCCTTGCATTGTTATGATTGTGCCAATTTTCTGAGAAATATAGAGTTTACACCTTCAAATTTTAGCCCCTTTTCTCAAGAATCTGTTGACCTCTATTTGTTTATGTCTAACATTTTAAGTGAGCTGTAAAGATTAAATCTTTGTATAAAAGAAAGATGGCCCATTAACAAAAATTTGTAGCCGGTGGTTTTCGAGGCTGACCAAAATTAGTATGAAGATGAAATGGTTATATTATGATGAATACCTTGAAAGAGTTGATGTGAAACTTTGGGTAGCACAAGTTGTTGATAGGAAATTGAACTGGTGAAATTTCTTCAGAATGCATCATGTTCAGTGAAATGTTGGCTACTTTCCTCGACGATTAATAAATAAAAGAAAGATGGCCATTAACAAAAATTTGTAGCCAGTGGTTTTCGAGGCTGACCAAAATTAGTATGAAGATGAAATGGTTATATTATGATGAATACCTTGAAAGAATTGATGTGCAACTTTGGGTAGCATAAGTTGTTGATAGGAAATTGAACTGGCGAAATTTCTTCAGAATGCATCATGTTCAGTGAAATGTTGGTCACTTTCCTCGACGATTAATATATAATAGGAATGCTTCTAATTCTTATGTAGGTGCTAAACTACACTAAGTTATTTGAGCTCTGTTCAAATTATAAATCCATGAAGGACAGAATTCCATAGTGAAGATTGGGTTTAATTTTATTGAAAATAACATTCATCATGTGTGTTTTCAATAGCATGTAACTCATTTCACTTTTCGAAAAATTTGTGCTGTTTATTTTGAGAAGTATAATATAGTGAACCCCTCTCATAGCATCTCATTTCTTTGTTTCACACTCCGAAGCTTTGGGCGTAGGTGTGAAATGGTAGAAGAATGGTGTCGATTTATAAAATCAAAATGTGACAAACGAGTGAACGACTACATGAATCAATTTGTTCGATAGTTGTATTTATTAAGCCTAATGCAAATTATTCTTCTTGCTGCATCCTTAATTCTGAAATATACCACATCTGCCTTGTTCAACATTGCTGATTGGACTCATCAATAGTATGTGAAGCTTTGATGATTGTGTCGAGCACTTTATGCAATTCAACTTGACTGGATGTAGTAATAAAATAATAGCAATTCATTTTGCAAGTTGTCAGCAAAAGATGATTGACAAAATAATAGACTTGTAGTATTTAATGATTACTCCAAAACACTTGGTCTTCAACATTTGCATTTGTTGTATTGTTGTTATTGTTTAGACTCTATTGAAAGAATGCTTGAAAGATATTTTTCTATCATAACTACAAGGTCAATGGGCCCTATAACTGGGTCCTCGCCCTTGCCATTGCATGGGCACCACGAGAAACTAATGAATCAATTTACATAGAAAAAATAGGAAAAAAAGACAAACCAGTGAATCATATCTGAAAGATTACCACATTATATTTACTGGTCAAAATTTTTTGACCCTTATGATGCTTCATAATTCATAACCACTGTCAATGTCATAATCAGTCGCAGTTAACATTATCAAATAAAAAATAAAAAAATGTCATAATCACTCACTCATTGCTTGTTGTTTGACTCATGACTCATGACCTAGTTCACTAGACTGCCTTCTAGGAAACTTAAGGGTCTAGTCCCTAGGGGAGCTATAAAGAGGGGTTTGGTTGCCTCTAAATTATCTCCGAAACTGTAGTTTTTTAGAAATACTAGTGAAACACATTATCTAAGTAGCGGATACACCATATTTCATACATATTATCAAATATCAATTGTCAAATATCAAATAAAATTGCCATTAAATTGGTAGAAGTCTAAAAACTCAAATAAAAGGAAAAAGAAAAAGGTGCCACTGGTAATACCCATTACCAAAAATCATCATTCCACATTATTAGTTCATCATAGCCAAGTGAAACAATGAACACAAAAAAAAAAGTCCCAACACCATACTCCGAAGTCCCAACATTATATCAGATGTGATCATGTAAATATGTGATGATAACGAACTCAGTTTGGTAAATGAGTTTCATCATCACCAACAATGTCTCGCTGTCCACTAGGACCACTGTGACCACCACCAAAGCACTGAAGTTGCGCTCGCAACCAGATGAGGTGCATGTCAAGCTCAAATTGCGCATGGCCATCTTTTGTAAGTGCCTAGGGCTTTGACCATGATTGGCACACCATAAACCCTCAAAATAAATAGAGAAGAAATCTATATAAATAGGTATTATAAGTTCTACATAGACTGCTAGAACAAACCAACAAAGTACTCAAATAACAAATTCACCATGAAAAGACAAAATTGAAACTTACCGGGAAAGAGTGTCTTCCTTTGCCTTACCGCTAATTCAGTACCAAGTGTCGCAATTGATTATCTGTACTTATCTAAGTCTCTTGACACTTGATCTTGTTCTTCTATACTAGGGATGAGTTTTATTAAACACTTGTTGATTGCGAACATAAAGCATCACCGAGTATCAATATTTGGGTTTTCATAGAAATAAGCAGGGTTAAAATAATACCCTGCTAGGTGAAAGGGCCTCTCTAACTGGCAGACCCATTTATCTTCAACTATCTTCAAAATTGGAGAATATGTTTTTTCATTATAATCAAAATTCTTCTTAATCTTCTCCTTCGCAACCTGCAATGCCTGGTATATATGACCCATAGCTGGCTCTTTCTTACTATGAACAAGGTGCAAAACCTTAACTAAAGGTTCAAAGGCCGCGAGGATGCAAGTAAACCCCATTCCAAAAGGCTGGTGCTAAAACTAGATCAGCCACCAACCACCAATTGTATTGGACCACTTGCATTCAACCCATTCTTGAGATACAAACATCTCCCTCAGCTTGCGCTTTTGCTATTATAATAGAATGCAAACACAAAAAGGAGGTGGCAAATCTTTTAACTCCAGGCCTCACCAATTCCCTAGTGAACTTCCTCATCATGGCCAACACGTAGGTGTGGTTGTATATGAATATTGTGATGGCTCTTGCTTTATCTATAGTACTGGCCACGTCTTTTTTCTTACTTATTGCCTTAAGCATGCGGTCGATACAATAAGCTGCATATGGTGTCCAAAAGATGTGTGGCTTGTTTGCCGCCAACATTCTATCAGCTGCCATGTTGGCTGCAACCATGTTTGTAACCACCTGAACTACATGGCTCTCTCCCACTTCCTTGATGCATTTTTCTACCAAACCAAGAATGAAATATGCATCATGTATCTTGTCCGACGCATCAATGGACCTTAGAAACATTGTCTCCATTACAATTTACCAACAAATTCATAATGCTCCTATACCTTCTATCGGTCCATAAGTCAGTCATTATAATGACTCCATATCTACCCCCTGCGTCCCTATGAGTCTTGAAATATTCACTAGTGAATTCCACTTCTTTTTTAAGGAAGGGCTCTTTGAGTTGATATTGTGATGGCGCTTTATATCCTGGTGCATATTGCCCCACTTCTTCCATCATGATCTGGAAGCTCTTCAAACTAGTGGCATTGAATGAGATGCCCCCTTGATAGATCCATCTTGAAACATATTGATCGACATTTTCTTTTTATTCGTTTTTGTACTTGTTTTCTATAGTTGTCTGCCCCTTTTCACGAATTGCAATCTCAGAGCAGGGGATGGAAAATAAGAATCCATAGGTCCCCTTGCTTTAGGTCTTCTCTGCCCAATATCCAAAGGTGTATTAATAGAGCCCCATTCTTGAGCTAATTCATCGTCCCCAAATATCAACTGACATAGTGATATCTACAAGTTTTTTCTTTGCCGCTTCCTTCTTGTTTCTGACCCTTTCTAGATAATCCAACATCTCCTAACATCTGCAGAGACTTGGGTACATGAGGCCACATCCCCTCTCATACTGGCTAAATGTTTCTTCATTCTATTAATGTCGCCATTGTATTTCTTTTTACAAAATTTGCTCTCCACACAATTCTTATCATTGAGATTAGGGCACATGCCGTATTTCCACCGTGGATTACTTTGTTTGCTAGAACTAGAAGAAGACATCTTCACCTAATCAAAACCTGAAAAGTGAAAACAAATTGAAACCTCATTTAAAATAAAAGTAACTTAAAAAAAAATGTAAGAATCTGAAACCAAACAGGAAAATTAAATATAAATAAACAATTTCGATTAAGTTTCAGATATTTTAATAAATTGGGTTTCCCAAAACTTAGTAAAACGCCACTAAGCACAAAGAAAAACCCACTACGGATTATGGGGTACAAATCCAAGTATCCAAACATTATCTTAAAAAAAAAAGAAAAAAGAATAAGAAACCAAGCAAGAAAAATAAATAGAAATAACCAAACATTAGGTCATTAACTTGAAAAAATCACAACTATTTTCGTTTTTGGGGTGTTTCTCTCTCTAACTCAACCAAAATCCGTTTAGGGGTTTACAATGCCTCCGAAAACCCTTTTCTCCCCGCTTTAAAGGGGAAAATTACGTTGTTTGCCCTCCATTGAGGGTGATTTTCCACCAAGTCGTGTGAGGCCAAAAGGCGGCGCCTAGACGCCTGCCTGGATGTAGCTGCCTAGTTGGTGCCTAGTCGGGCAACTAGCCCCAACCGGTTTGGTACCTCACCTTTTGCCTAATTTGTGAGGCAGTGCCTTGTGTCTGACTTGTCGGACTGCCTAGGCAGCAAGGTGGGCACATTTTTTAACATTGATAGGGATATTCTAGGCTGCACAATTCTAATGGAGAACTGAGAATTTTCTACTCTAAAATTTTTACCCTAAAATAACCTTATATGTTTAAAATGATTTTTAGTTTTGTCAGTTTAAAATCGCTCCAAAAATTAAGTTCAAATTGAAAAATACTCCTTTGAATTTTTAATCATGTTTGAATTTTGGAAGCAATTTAAAATTACAAATACATCCTTTTTGAAAATTTTCAAACTAGTTATTGCTAATGTTGTTTTTGGATTTTTAAGTATTTTTTGCTGCCTCCTAAAACCAACTTCAATTTTTAAAAGATTCCTTTGAATTTTTTAATCTTTTTTTAATTTCATCAGTAATTTAAAACTATAATATATCCTAAGTCAAGTTTTTCAAGCAAGTTATTACTAATGTAATTTTGTGATTCGTAAAAGTACTTTATGGTAAAAAATTTGAAGCTGGAAATTCTCGGGTTACTATTAGACTACTGCAGCATGAACACACACACACAATAAATAATTAAGTCAGACTATGAGCAAGTTGCTTTTGGATAAACTATTTGAGGCATGGCGGCGTTTTCAAAGCCAACCTATTGATTTCCTTTGGAAACATCTATAAATGGTGTTAGGTGTATTTCTTTGGCTATTTTTACTAAAAGAAAATTTCCCCAAAAAAAAAATGAAAGGCTTTGAGCACATCTAAACTGTACATCTAACATGCAGCAAAACAAACTGTGGATGTGTGCGCAAAAAATGATCCTTAGACAATACACATTACATCAAAAATGAGAGGTAGGCGAACTTTATAGTGTCAGCCTATATTATGATTTGGAACGCTCACTCCTGTATGTGATAGTACATGCCCAACGCTAGAGATTGGAAGGGAAACAAATGGATGGGTATAGTTGTGTATAATTTTTTGAATTTTAATTTTTCAAAATAAACTTTCTTGAAATTTTTAGGTGTGCATGCCTTACTTATGTGCACCTAAAAATGTGTCAAAAATAATTCCAAAAATTAAATTGACTAAAGTACGGCTGAATATCTCTGGGTATTTCAGTTAATTATTTTTTGAATTCCTTTTTAGCATAAATATGCGCTATCTACTATGAGCTGCCCAAGGTGCAGAATGGTATATGATGAATGGTCTCGACTGAAGGACAGGAGGCAATTGGACAACCGGGAAGGCGTACACACTAGGACCCATACTTTTGTGAGTTGTTTTTTGATTTTTTGAGGACATTTTTTTCGGAGCACCTAGATGAGTGAAATATGTGTGTAGAACTTGGAACCCATCGAATCCCTGTCTTTTCAAAAAGGAAAGCTAACCCATACAGTTGTCCAATCATTGGGTTCTCTCTTTTAATCTGGCCAGGTTTTAAAATTCGCCGATCCAAATTTAGAATTACCTTGAACCGAGCCTATTACTGGTCGGAATCAACGACTTGTTTGATAAACTGTATATTTTATATTGTAACCTTTTTATAATAAAAGAACTTGAGAAGCCCTGTTGGCTAGACCTCCCACACTCTATTTGAGAGCAATGTCGGACCTCTATTTGAGTGCAATGTCGGAGGTTCAAGTCCCCTACTGTACCTCCCTCAATAAATATCTTCAAGTTCAAACTTCAAACTTTAACAATACATTTGCCTCTATTTTTCAAGGTTAAAAAAAGTAACATACATTCATGGGGCTCGAACCCCAGACCTCTTGTGAGATGCCAAGACATGTACCGACTAAGCTATCCAAGTTTAGTGTTGTAAGATTCACACATTTAATAGTAATTAACTATTATAAAAAAGGAAAAATTTGACAACACGTCCTTGAAAATGTTTTTTTAGCCCAATTAATATAGGCCATCCCTTTTAGTGAGATGCTTAGATCTATACCTTAAAAAGATTTTTTTTATTTTATATTATAGCTTATTTTCAATTGATTAACCATGTCAAAATAGAGAAATTTTGATTTTGAATTCGTGAAGGCTTACATCTTGAAATTCACCAACTAGATTGTCTAGATTCATTATGTAAGAAGGTGCAAATTAAATTTTAGTTTTTTTGGATTGATTATTAGGATGAAGAGAATGTGTGTGCAACATTTAGGGTCATACAAATGCCATAAACATAGTTTTTTAGCAGTATGGTTTCATTGTATTATAATGACATGGTGACCTGAAATCATTCCCCATATATATAATCAAAATATTTTATACTCCCGTAGGAGTACACTATCCATTTATTTCCTCGTGTGAAACCCAATTTTGGAATAATTTTAGAATCCCCAACTTTGGGGATGTAACCTCTTCAATCCGTAGACTAACCTTAGTAAGAAAAAGTTCCGAACTGAACTCTTCAAGTACTAGAAAAAATTCAGGTCCTAAGATTGAACAAAGACCATCGAATATTTGAAAGACGAGATCTCCATGTCAAAAAAGAATGCAAAATTCAATTTTTTTATTTTAAAAATAATTATTTAGTGATTCTTAGGTGGTTCCCAAAATTTTGGATTGAAAAATTCTTTCCAAGTAGTTCTTTTGACTGAGGGAGTAAATGTACACTATGCTCCCATGGTAGCAAAGCTGACGTGCTCTCTCTATATATAGGATAATACTTATAAAGACCTAGGGTGAATTTTTATAGTACTTCATGCATGACTCATCACCATCCAAAGTCCACTAATGGACCATGATTATTCAATAGTGTTTGATTTTATTTTTAATATTTTCTACAAATCCGATTTATTTGATATTTGGGGTGTGTGTGCAACTAAGCATTTCTCACAAAAACAAATTATAAAAAATATAATTATCATAAAATAAGGGGTGTGGTTTGTATAAGGTTGCAACCTTAAACAATCAAATTGAGGAGCACCTCTAAATATTGTTATAAATATAATTTTGGTATAAAAAATTCTTAAGATGGCTTGATAATTTATTTTCATCTCTAATTATAAAATCTTAAACTCCAAAAATGATTTAAATCACGTAAATATATAAACATTTGGAGATCTTGAAAATGGACGGTCCAGATAATATGTTGCAAGATACACTATTTTTAGGACTCGAAATCTTTTTTTCTTTTCGTATTCATACATCTTGATGTCGAGATGTTCGATTAGAGGGTTCTCCAACATCAAATCAACTTTTTATGATATATTTTTTCGGTGCTCCTTAATTCTACAGTTTAAGGTTGCAACCTTATATAAGCTTTTTTATAAAATAAAATAACTATAATACCCCTGAAGTGTTAATCGGGATAATTTAGTCATTTTTAGTGTTTGAATTATTTATTATATTTTCTCTAGATGCACCTCACTGAGGTGCACACAGCCTCAAAAATTGAGGTTAATCCTATTTGTAAAAATATATTAAAATTCAAATACTATTAAACAGTAATAATTGTCTGATGGACTTTGGATGGTGATGAATCATAAGCAAAATACCATAAAAATTACTTGACTCACTAGGTCCATTTTTAGCACCCAAACCTAGACATAGGCCGACTAGCTCAATAGCCCTACTCATATCATGACGTCAACCATTAATTTTTTCCCTTAACCAAGATATGAATTTAAGAAATTTCATGCACTTAATTTCCTTGTTGTGGCTTCTGAATCTTACATTGCTTGTTTGACCCGATGTGACTATAGTGGATTACATGAATAATAGTGCAACTGTCCTCATGACTTTAACTAATTCCAATACAACAGGAAGAAACTAGAAATCCCATAAATATTAGGAAGTTTCACAACTTCACTTTATGCTATCTTAATATACTCTACTTCCTCTTCGTCTTCTCTCATATGTAGTTATCTCCTTATGTAGAACAGATTTGATTAGTGGGCATATTATAGGTGAATATGGATATTTTGATGCCCGAGATGGCTCTTGAAGCTCATACATTGCCATTGTTGTCAACTTTTCAATTTGGAAGTTCCTTTAATGCAGTTATATCATGCCTTTGCATGTATCCTAGTGTTTTTATTTGTGTTTATGCTAAAGGAAGGGCCTTCATAACGACTGATCGACATTTTCATTTACATATTGGTTTTCCGAGTTTTCTTTTCCCGTGCACAGTGGAGATCTGCTAATTTCAGTTGCTGAATGCTATATTGAGCCCTTTACTTTTGTTGTTATCAAAATCCAAATCCTTTCTCATTGTGTAATATTTTTCTCTATAATGCACAGAGGTGAAAAGGGTGTTAAAAAGAGGTGGTTGTTACATATTTGTTGAACACGTTGCTGCTCCTGGTACTGTGATCTCAACTTCTTTACTCTTTATTAATTAGATATTTTGAACATAAACCAATAATGAGCATCACTCCCCCCCCCCCCCATCCCCGGTCCCTTATCTCTAATCTATGATCTGCCTTTTTATACCAACCCATGTGTTTTGGAATTTCCTTCTCGATCTGCTTTTCAACATTTCAATCACATCCAACATTTCAAATGAGAAGGTACACCACTGGTTTGCTTTGTGACTTTTCTTTGATGCCCCAGCAAAAAGGAGGAGTTTTTTGTGCATTGATTCATTGAGTTGTTTTCTTTGTTGTTATTCTTTCCTTTTTAATCTTATGATATGTTCTTTTGTTCACTACTTCATCTTTTATTTTCTTTGGCAATTGCACACTTTTCATTGAATTGGGCATTTTATTCTTCATTTCAGAGGGCTCATCACTTAGATACGTACAAGGTGTTCTTGATCCTCTGCAACAGCTTATCTCTGATGGATGCCACCTGATTAGGGATACTGGTAAGGAAATTAGTAATGCTGGGTTCTCTAATTTGAATTTGAATAAAACCTTTGTGTCCAATCTCACTCTTATAAGCCCCCATGTGTATGGAGTAGCATATAAATAATATTACCTTGGAAGAGAGTTTACAAAAAAAATATAACTGATCTTTGCACATGTAACTCAGCTTAGAAAGACAAAGGATTTGTATACATACATGTGACGCATCATTTAAACAAATTGGTTTATATGATACAAACTAGTTATGCATGAAAATGCATTGATTTTAAGAACAGCCAAAGTATTGGAGAATATAAGATGGGGAAACCTTTCAATAACTTGACTTGCATATGATTTATGTGACTGGAAACTACAACATTCGATGTTTGACTAATGGATGTCATTGACTTGGGAATAATGTCAGAGGTTAATGACAATTGTGCTTATCAAACAATGATTAATACATAACATTATTGTCGCCTTGATGTCAAATCAAGAATCGTGTGTATGGAGAATCACAAAAGAACTCGCCTTTTAAGATGATGCAGGACAAGGTTTAGGTTGACCTAAAATCTTCCATGATAGCAACTTAATCCTCTCTCCGCGCCTTACCAAATTACGATGGATTCTCAAATTGTGCTAAATTGCACTTAGATTCTATGTTTTACATGGATTGGTACCCAATTCAAATTGTTGCCAAAATCTTGATATACAAAAATAACCTACTTGTGCTATAAAATGACACATGTAGATGTGTTACTGAAGTTGCTACAACATACTTTTTGATTTGTTGCATTCTGCTTTTTTTTTTATAGGTCATACCCGTGTAATTCATAGGCATTCAGGGAATATTGATACATTTGTCTATACAATCTTAATCAGATGGCTGGCAACGATCTAGCCATTTGATTGAAATCCAATGGCTATTCATCCCCAATACATTAGATTAGCCTCCCTTTCCTTATTTTATGGGTAGATCATTTTTTTTGTTTATTTGAACATTAGGTAGATAAACAATATTTGAGTGGCTGTTGTTCGACCTTTAGATCTCAATCTTGCTCGAACCAGGTATCTCACCATTAAACCAGTGGCTCCCATTTTTACTTGTGCAGTTACAGCCACCTAAAGTTTTCAAAAGAGAATGCATGTGTTAAAAGTGTTCAAATGGCCACAACGACAAGAAGATGCATGAAATAAGGAATGGAATTGTATCATTAAACCAGTTAACTTCAGTACAAGGCTATCACATTTACTCCCTAGCTATTAGAATATGAAATCTAAGAGTTTGGGGAGTGTCACAAAGTTTAAAATCTTTTTTTTGGACTTTGATTCTAGTCAATAGCACACTTATAGCCCATTCAATTATACGTCCAACAACTAAAAATGATTGAGAGTTTTTTGTACTGAAGGTAAATCGTTTTATTGTGTACTTTTCCTGAGGAGGATATCTTTTTCGAAAGTACTACATGTTTCTCAATATTTTTTTTTGTTAGTCTTACTGAAAACTTAAATGAGTTCGTTAAAAAAAAAAACCAATTGCAACATGTTAATTTATTTTCCGCCAAGGCTTCGAGTCATTATACCATTTGAAAAACATTTGCCTAACTGAAGTTCTAGTTAAAATCTCTCTAAAATGGAGTATTTTCAAAATTTACACATGAATGCCTTACGTGAGCAACATATATTATAATCTAAAGCACATATTTAATACAATCAACTTGTGTTTTCATTAATAACTTCTCATTTTCAATCGCCCATTCTTCTTTTTCAACCCAGTGATAAAAATCCTTGATTGAATAGTTGTTCTTACAACCTCATGATAAAATCCATGATTCCATAAGGGAAAAGTTTATATAGAATTGAGGCTCTAAACAATCAAATTAGAGCCTACCTCAAAATTATCACTAGAAAGGTTGTTTTGATGCCCAAATATCCTCAAATTGATCATCGATGCATGGACATGACAAAAAAATGCGTTTCAACTTTTAGAAATAGTATATTTTGTAATGTATTTTTGGGTTGTCAATTTTCAAGTTTTCATAGATATGTTGAACTACAGTATTTTTTAAGCTTTAAACTTTATAAATAAAGATGAAAATATATTTTAAGGCTATCACAAAGATTTCCAGTATTGAAACCACTTTTTTTGACACAATTTGAAGGTAGGCTCTAATTTGATTGTTTAGAGCCTAGGCTCTATACAAACCGTACCCTTCCATAATTGGTCTCTCTTTTCTTTGTTTCTTTTGCTACCCAAGCAGGGGTGTTGGCCGCTACCTCACTCGTTATGTTAGTCAGGATGAAAATTTACAATGCATGGAAGTAGACTCTAAGTATTACTTACAAAGATACCTATAATAAGTCTATCTTTCTGTGTACATTGATAACTCCTATATACATT